TACCTTTCGGGCGCACCGGCCCGCGGTTGCAGCCGGGGTGTCCCTGCTGCGCCAGGTTCTGTGCCAGCCGCCTGTAAAGGTCTGCATTCCGGCAGCGGGACTGCAGGTCGTGGAGACCCTCCTCCTCCTGCCAGAGGTCCAGGAGGGTCTCCAGCTCCCTGGGGGTCCAGGATGGGGCCCGGCGTTTCCGGCCCCTGGGGGCTTCCTCCCCTGCGGGTGCGGGACTGCAGGTCGTGGAGACCCTCCTCCTCCTGCCAGAGGTCCAGGAGGGTCTCCAGCTCCCTGGGGGTCCAGGATGGGGCCCGGCGTTTCCGGCCCCTGGGGGCTTCCTCCCCTGCGGGTGCAGGTGGCTCACCACCCGGAGCTGCCATGCTGGCACGTAAGAATGGCCAGACTGGGTCAGACCAAAGGTCCATCTAGCCCAGTATCCTGTCTTTCGACAGTGGCCCATGCCAGGTGCCCCAGAGGGAATGAACAGAACAGGGAATTTTCAAGTAATCTCACCGCTGTTGCTCATTCCCAGCTTCTGGCGAACAGAGGCTAGGGACACCATTCCTACCCATCCTAACTAATAGCCATTAATGGACCTATCCTCTGGGAATTTATCTAGCTCTTTTTTGAACCCTGGTAAAGTCCTGGCCTTCACATCAGCTGGCTTTTGCCTTGATAAAATCAATACCCTTTCTGGCTGCAAACCAAATTTGGATCCTAGTTTGTTAGTTGATGTGGAAACTTCTTTTTTTTTTAAAAAAATCTGGCTTGTCCACAGTGATGAAATTAACTCATCTAATATTCTTGGAACGATGACAAATGCTGTTATAAGGGGTTCTTTGGAATGCTGCTGCAATCATTCACAACAGAGTGATGCATTCATAATAATAGACAAGCTGCTGTGATTTGCGAGGCAATTCTGTCGAGGGATCTTGGTGACATAAGGCATAGCAGCAGAGTTTAAGTCACTGGCTCACCCAAGGAAGAATTCCACATAACTTTGTGTCTCTTGTTTGGCCAATGATAGATGGATCCAACAGTGACATTAAATTAAAAAAAATACCTAAAACATTTTGTGCAACAACTCATTTAAAGACTATAACAGCTAGTATGAAAGTTAAAGACCTAACACTTCTGTCCTCAAATTCTTCTTAGCATATGCACAGCGTGCCTCACTTGACGCATGACCAGGGTTCAAAGCAGAATTTGGTCTGCTGTTTGGATCAGTAGCTTCCCTGGCTAAGGCCAGAATCTGACGGGGAGTGCAGTGAAAACACTGATGCATGCCCCTCATCCTGAAATTAAACAGCTCCCAATGCATGCAGGTACTTGAAAATAAATTGGCACTCTGACACGAAGATGGTAAATATAATAAAATCCCTGTTCCTTTGCTGGGTGACCTACCGTTACCGTAAAAGTAAAGCTGGCTCGATGGGCTTGTTTGCAGTTGTGTATATGCCTTTGCTACTGGCTCTGTTCTTGGATTCCATTGGGGTCCTGAAACATACACACATCAGATACTGCTCACAAGAACAGAGCAGGTCGGCAGAATGGTGGGGAACACTTCTGTGTCTCTGCAAATGAAAAGCAAGGCAGTAGGTCACATGTACAGATTTGTACCCTGTTCAGTTCAGCTCTGTCTAATTTAGGTGCTTATCTGGCCTCCAGCTATGCAGTATCTGAGTGCTTCTCAGTGAGTCTTTAATGGATCTACTCCCCCAGTATGCCTGAAAGGCAAGATGGTGCTGTTATCCCCATATGTGCAATAGCAACATGAGGCACTGAGCGGTAAGTGGCTTGCCCAAGACATCTGTGAAGACAGGTTTTCTAAGTCCTAGATTAGTGCCCTAACCACCAGATGACACTTCCTCTTGTCAGAGGCATGGTAAGCTCTACAAGTGTTTCCAGAGTGTAAGGAAGAGACAGAGAGTTGGTCTGTCAGGATGGCACTTTACAATGTATGATCTCCCGTGTCTGTTTGTCAGCCGTGTCTTCCTGATTCAATGGCAGGTTGCTGCACAGTGCAGTGTCTTCTCAGGAATCTTTTTCCTGGCTTGTAGGTCATGCTTTGATTTTCCTTATAACTTTTTCATGTGGGGTCTTTTATGGTTCTTGATCATTTCAGGGAATGCCATTTTCCTACTCTCTAAGGCTACGTCTACACTGTTCTGTAGTTTGAAATAAGATACGCAATTTAAACTAAGCAAATTGCATATCTTAAATCGATCTTATTTCAAAATAGCTTATTTCGTCATTTGGCGCTGTCTCCACAACGCCAGATTTAGAAATAACCCACTATTCTGAAACATCCCTTATTCCTTGTGGAATGAGGTTTACAGGGATGTCGGAATAGTGAGCCTGAAATAATGGGCTTCCTTAAGATGCAGGATAGCTATTTCAGGATACGTTGGTATCCTGAAATAGAGTTGCAGTATAGACGTAGCCTTATATTTTGGACATTGAAGCAGAAGGTCTCAGGTCTCTCTTCTGTTGTATTGACTGCACAATCATTCCTTTTTGGGTTTGGACTTTAAGCCTCTTAATTTCTACCTCAGTCTACTTTATGGTCACGACTCATCCTGCCTCATTGAAAGATGTCCCGTTGAAGCTTTGGAAATTAGACTTCTGTTTGTTCACTCAGCATATACAGAATAAGCAGTAGAAAGCTTCTTCACATCCCACATTTCCATTGTACCTCATTCTGGAATTGCCTAAGGGATGGTCACTTCTAGAGGATAATTCGATCCTAATTCAATTGTTGGCTGAGACCGTCCAAGATTGAGTGACTAGATGTCCTGATTTTATAGACACAGGAGTGATATTTGGGGCTTTATCTAATCTAGGTGCATATTGCTTTCCATCTCCTGACCCAGTTTTTCACATTTCCTGTCAGGTCACTGTTGGCCATGACACTGTGTTTTTGGTGATATATCTGGAACTGTACTGAGACCCATTCATTTCACATATTAATTATTAACAACAACCTTTTAGTTAGCCTGAAAAACTTTAACCATGCTTTACAAATATAGGCTATAACCCCATTGACTGGCCTGACATACTAAAGATCTGACAGAGAAGACTTACTTCTCAGTCACCGTCAGACACAAAAGACAAGGTTCAGGCTATTTAGGAAAGGGAGAGTGAAGTGAAAATTTTGGCAAGAGGATTAATGGAAGATCTATTGAAGAAGTGGCTTGAAGCAGAGAGGGGAAAAGATTTAGTGACATGAACTAGGAGAATATTCAAAGAGTAGAGGGGGTGCGATTGAAGACAGGAAACCAAGAAGATGATACAGAGATGAGTGAGGGGAGAGGAATATAGAGGATTGGGAGGTGTATGGAGAGTAAGAAGAAATGAGAACAGAAATGTGTAATCTTGGGTGAGATTAGGTTGGGCCTTGAAGGTAAATTCAAAGGTTTTATTAGAGAGGAAAGAGATGGGAAGTTAGTGGCAAGGATTTAAGGAGGTGAATGGTGTTGGAAGGATAGAAGAAGGGAGCTAAAGGGAAGAAGTCAGCTGTGTCTATTGCTTGTTCTGTGGCAGGTTGCTACACAGTGCAGTGTCTTCTCGGGAGTCTTTTTCCTGGCTTTTAGGTTATGCATCACTTTTCCTCTGATTTTTTTTCATGCAGGGTCTTTTATGATTCCTGATCCTTGCAGTGAATGCCATTTTCTTGCTTTTTCTTATATTTTGGACATTGGCGTGGAAGACCTCAGGTCTCTCTTCTGTTACATTGGCTGGTAATCCTGGTAATCCAGGTGGAAAATGACCAGTGTGTGGAAAACGACGGGGATGCTGCATGGGGAACGCGGGGCCTAAACGGCCGCTTGCTCCTGTGTGGCGGCCTGGCTGAGCGGCGCAGAAGTCAGCTGAGCACCACGGCGAGAGGTGAAGGAGGCCGGGGTGGTGATGCATACGCTGAGGGGGCGGGGCCTGGACAAGCGTGCATCCCCAACAGAGACAGAGGAGAGCGAGAGGCAGAGGAGGAGGAGATAAGAAAGGGAGAGTGAGAGGCAGGAGGGGGAGAAGAGAAAGAGAGAGAGGCAGAAGGTGGAGGAGAGCTGAGAGAGAGAGGGAAAGGCAGGAGAAGGAGAGAGAGAGAGAGAGAGACAAAGCGAGAAACCGGAGGCTCAGGAGAGAAAATGGACGTGGAGGAGAGACCTGAAAATCCTGTCTTATGGTGGGCTAATTGGCTAGTCAACCTATATATGTGGCCCAGCCACCACTGAACAGGTATGGAGCAGCACAGTGGGTACATGTCAGTGACACACAAGGGTGTTTCTTGCAGAGAGAATGCAAGCTGCCCCTTAGCAGTTGGTGCTATCAGTGCCTCTTTCAAAAATCCACTGGCTGTGTTCCATGTTCTGATGCAGGCCAGTGATGGTTATTGGAATGTAACGGATTTCAGTCAAAGCTACCAGGAGTGGATTAGAGCAACCATACAGGTGAAAGGCTCCTGGCCTCTGCGCCTCCAGTACCTGCAAAGAGCGGGCAGCAGTTCAGAAATCATCACTTCAGCAGCAGTACCTCTCAAAAAGTAAAGCCAGCCTTTGTGAAGTGGTAGGAGAAGAAGATTGAGTTGCCCTTCCCAAGGTACTGAGTGACAAAGTAAAAGGACAGTGAAACTGCCAGGGTTTTAAACAGCTATGGATTGGACTGCAGCTTTGAACTGTTGTAGTTGAGTCTTAGGTCTGCTTTATCCCTTTATCACTGTTAATCCCTTTCTCTGTAAGTTGGCAAAAATTGCCCATGATACCAAACTGCTCAAGATAATTAAGACCAAAATAGACTGTGAAGAGCTTCAAAAAGATCTCACCAAATTAAGTGATTGGGGAACAAAATGGCAAATGAAATTTAATGTTGATAAATGTAAAGTAATGCACATTGGAAAAAATAATCCCAACTATCATCCACAACCTGTTTTTACCTTTCTAAACTCCTCATATTTCCTCTGACAGACACAGCTTATCTGTTTAGGGTAATATTATGTGGCTTATGTGGATACATTCCGAACGGGGACAGAGATGCTCCTCATTAAGGCTACGTGTATGTTTAACATGCCACAGATGTGCACCTGCTGCTGTGGCACTTCTGTGTAGACAGTTAATACGATGTGGAGATAGGCTTTCCCATTGGTGTAGGTGATCCTCTTCCCCAAGAGGTGGTAGGTAAATTGACAGAAGAATTCTTCCATTTGACCTTGTACTGTCTGTGCCAGCAGTACCTGAGAAATGTAGCTATGCCAATGTACCTTTTCAACGTAGAGCAGGTCACATTGCTATATTCTTTGGCATAGGGAAGTGGCAGCATGTCCCTCAAGCTTCTAGACAGAGGTTTCTGGCCAGTGGGAGCTGCAGAGCCTAAAACATATGCAAGAGGTGCTGGCAGGGACTGGGACTGCCATGGTCCTTTTTCCACTGGGTGTTTTGGTCAAAAACCCGACACCTGGCAACCCTTGCTAGAGCTTGGGTCAACTGATTTAGGCTCGTGCTGGAGTCTAGGCTCCTAAAGAAGATATGCTCTGTTCCCATGAGCTCCCCCTTCCTCTAAAGACTCACTTCCTTCACAGTACACACTAACACTAATCCCCATTAGTGACAGGGCAGAAGGCATTTAGGTAAAGAAGGGAGTGAGATCAGGGAGGCCATGTTTCATAGCTCACCTCTTGCATATGTTTTAGGCTGATGCAACTCCATTGACTTCTGGGGTGTTATTCTGACTTGTTCCAGAGGGTTAAAAACTTACCCAAAAAAACCTAAATTGTTTTAGTTAAAAACTAAACTGTAAACTAGAACTCTAGCATGGGTCTCCCAGGTGTGCATTTCTGCAGCTTGAACCTTTGAGTGTAAAATGCCCATTCGGAGTCAATGGAGGTCTGCTCTGTACCATGTAGTAGGTACCTCAGGTGCAGGGCAGTGAAAATTGGGCCCAGTACCTGTTGTTGCTGAGAACTTTTAACTCCAAGGGTTTTAATGGCTTTTAAAAATTCTACTGTTGCTTATTCCAGCTGAGCTAACAAATGATGTGAGGATGCCATCTGGAAAGGTTTGTCAATCCTTGGGGGCCTCCAAGATGCCTGAACGGTTCCAGAGCAAAGTTGTGGCTCCTCGTAACCCTAAGCTTGTCAGAGAGGAAGAAAAGGCTGTTACTGTAAGTACCAAACACATGCCTAGAACATCTGATCCACATCAAGGATGCCAGTCACCTGCCCCTGCTTTTCCTACAGAGGCTGAGGAGGTTATCTGTAGGATCCAGGATACTGTGAGGGATACTGATCGTGCCTCTCTACAGACCTTGCAATAAAGAAGAAACCCAGGAAAAGAGCAGTCTCCTCAGAGTTTAAATTGGAAGCAGGTTCTTAACTAGTGGAGAGATCCTGGTGGTTGATGTAGTAGGAATTTGCTATGCAAGTTCTAACTTGTGCATTCATACCTGTTAAGCTCCACTCCTACCTCCCTGCAGTAAGATTTAGTTTGGGAATTTGCCCGGTGTAGGGGCTTCTACAGCTGGCATCAAGACACTATAATGGGCTATACCTTGCCCTGCGTTAGCCCTTGGGACAGAAGGGAGCATGGCCTGAGTGCCACTGCACTCCAGCTATTCCTGGCTGACACTGTAGCTCCTAAGTGCCTTTGGGTGTAACTGCTGGCTGCTGTAACCCGTGCCTGGGCTTGCAGTCAGCCCAGAATAGGGGACCACAGAATGACATCATGCCGGCTTTGTCCTCTTGTGAAACCTGTGCCAATCTCTATTCTAGTACAAGGATGCACTGGGCAAGGGCAAACCCCGCTCCCTTTGTCCGCATGTGTAGTGAATGGGGTTTGCAGTCCGAGGTCAGGTGAGGTAAGCAGGCCTCAGCCCAATGCTAGATCATACCAAGGAAACAATTAATCAGAGCTCCATTAAGAAGGCTATAAGGACAAAGCAAGATCAGATAACTGCTGATTAAAATTAGATGATCTAAACCTGGGCCATTCCTTTGTCCTTGTCACTCCATTTCTTTTGTGCTTTGCCTTGACAGCTCCCTCAGAAATGTTGTCCCCACACAGGTCTTTGCTTGAGCATCATGTAAAATTGTAGCCATCAGATTTTACTCACTTTTTTCATATCAAGTCACTTGCTTGAGCCAGCAAAGTTAAAGGTACCAAATCAAATTCCTCAGCCAGATGTCATTTCAAATCATGGCTGACAGAGAAATAAATAGGACAGAATCACTCAGGTAGTGCATGTATATTCTGCTCAGTATAATTAATTTACCATTTTTAAATATTTCAGCAG